CAAGCCACCACAGAACGACAAACTGACAGGTAAGTTCATCTCCCTTAGTTGTTCCTAACTGCCCTGTTCACTTCCGAACCACACACCTGCCTATCTGCGGCCTGGCCTTAAAAAAAAAAAAAAAAAAAGAATGCTTGAATGCTTGGAGGTGTGAATGCTGAGAAGACAAACGTTTCCAGGAGCCATCTTCACATTCTTCATGATATGGTCAATGAGGAGCCTAATTTCCTTGCTCCAGCTGGGGTTAGGGAGAGCCTGGTTTTACTGAGTGACTTCAGAAGAAAATGGCCTAGATAGGCATCATCTCCTGTGGGCCACACAGGACTGCAAGCCTGCGCAGGTGCATGTTACAACTCCTCAGCATGGCTCTGAGAGCAGTGTGGGGCTCTGGAAAGTGAACCAGCGGTGAACATATAGCTGCCTCTCACCCTTGCTGCAGAAAAGGCAAATTTTTCAAGATCAAGATGTTTCAAGATATGTCCTGAAGTACAACGCTGTCAGTGATAGGATAATACCCAAACGCCTACAAGGAAGACCTGTTAATACTTTATTATTCAAATCTATGCACCAACCACCGAAGCTAAAGATGAGGAAATTGAATATTTCTATCAACTTCTGCAGTCTGAAATTGACTGAACATGCAATCAAGGTGTGTTGATTATCACTGGTGACTGGAAGGCAAAAGTTGAAAACAAAGAAGAGGCATCAGTAGCTGGAAAATATGGCCTTGGTGATAGAAATAACACTGGAGATCACATGATGGAATTTTCCAAGGCCAATGACTTACTCATTGCAAAATACCTTTTTTCAACAACATAAGCAATGTTTATACACATGGACTTCACCAGATGGAATACACAGGAATCACATTGACTACATCTGTGGAAAGAGACAATGGAGAAGCTCAATATCATCAGGTAAAACAAAGCCAGAAGCTGATTGTGGAACAGATCATCAACTGTTCATATGCAAGTTCAACTTGAAGTTGAAGACAATTAAAACAAATCCACGAGAGCCAAAATATGACCTTGATAATATCTCTCCTGAATTTAGAGACCATCTAAAGAGTAGATTTGATGCACTGAACACCTATGATTGAAAACCAGAAAAATTGTGGGATGACATCAAGAACATCATCCATGAAGAAAGCAAGAGGTCATTAAAAAGACGAGAAAGGAAGAACAGACCAAAATGTATGTCAGAAGAGACTCTGAAACTTGCCCTTGAATGGAGAGTAGCTAAAGCAAATGAAAGAAATGACAAGATAAAAGAACTGAACAGAAGGTTTCAAACAACAGCTTGAAAAGACAAAGCCAATTATTATAATGAAATCTGCAAAGACCTGGAGTTAGAAAACCAAAAGGCAAGAACATGCTCGGCATTTCTCAAGCTGAAAGAACTGAAGAAAAAATTCAAGCCTCAAGTTGCAATATTGAAAGATTCTATGGGCAAAATATTGAATGGTGCAGGAAACATCAAAAGAAAATGGAAGCAATACACAGAGTCACTGTACCAAAAATAACTGGTTGATGTTCATCCATTTTAGGAGGTGGCATACAATCAAGAACCAATGGTATTGAAAAAAGAAATCGAGGCTTCACTGAAAGAATTGGTGAGGAACAAGTCTCCATGAATTGACGGAATAGCCATTGAGATGTTTCAACAAATGGATACTGTGCCGGTGGCACTCACTCAGCTATGCGAAGAGATTTGGAAGACAGCTACCTGGCCAACTGACTGGAAGAGATGCATAATTGTACCCATTCCAAAGAAAGGTGAACCACAGAATGTGGAAATTATTAAACAATATCATTAATATCACATGCAAGTAAAATCTTACTGAAGATATTTCAAAAATGATTGCAGCAGTATATTGACAGAGAGCTTCCACAAATGCAAGGTGGATTCATAAGAGAACGTGGAACAAGGGTTATCATTGCTGATGTCAGATGGATCTTAGCTGAAACAAAGAATACCAGAAGGATGTTTACTTGTGTTTTATTGACTATGCGAAAGCATTCAATTGTGTGGATCATAACAAATTATGGATAGCATTGAGAAGAACGAGAATTCCAGAACACTTGATCGTACTCACGAGGAACCTGTACGTAGATCAGGAGGCTGTTGTTTGAACAGAATAAGGGGATACTGCATGGTTTAAAATCAGGAAGGGGATGTGTCAGGGTTGTATCCTTTCACCATACTTGTTCAATTTGTATGCTGAGCAAATAATCCGAGAAACTGGGTGATGTGAAGAAGAATGTGGCATCAAGATTAGAGGAAGACTCATGTATAATGCTGTGCCTTCTTTTGTAATAGATTCCACTCCTGGAAATAGCTGGACCATGTTGTACGCATGTGCCTCCTACTCATATCCCTAATCTATCTTGGACAGGGCATATCTTCCTTTTTCTGGACCTGGCTGACCCCTGCCAGAGTGGAGATTAGGACATCCCCTTGAAAGCCCTCCCTGTGTTGCTGTCCTTGCAGCACTTCTCAAGTGGTTAAAGAAAATCTGTGTGGCTTTCGTATCTTTCAGCCTTGAGAGCTGAAACTGCAGGATCCAGGCATCAGGCTGTTAGTCAGCCTGCTACAGAGAGTTCATCATTGCTATGCCTACCAGGATCCAGATAGGGAGGCCATGTGAGTGAAGCCAGGCAGGGACTGTGGGAGCAGACTCTAGCAAAATTATTGAGACTGCAGAGGATGGCTGGGACCTAGAGACCAGGGGAGGGACATCAAGGTCTTTGTTGGGTTCCACATGAAATGTCAACCACAGGCTTCAGCAGGAAGCAGTAATGGAGTAGGTCATGATGGGGTCTCAGGTGATGCCCAGCTGCATTAGATTATGTTAGAATGGAAGACAACACTCAAATGGGGCTATGGTCTGAAAAGAACCCATGGCTCAGTTAGAAGATGTATTGCCCATCAACTCCCAGCTTCTATTGCTTAAGTTACCAAACCAACTGGTTGCTGTCAAGTGAACTCTGACTCATGGCGACCCCATGTGTAGAGCTGTGCTCCATGCAGTTTTCAATGGATGATAATTTGGAAGTAGGTCACCAGGTCTTTCTACCAAGTTACCCCTGGGTGAACTTGAACCTACAACCTTTTGATTAGCAGGCAAGTGTGTTAACTCTTTGTACCAATTAAAGATGCTTTAGGTTAGGGCCCAGGAAATGGGACTCCATGGATCTTCTTGGCTTCTGCCGTTCTAGATCACCAGGAACTTACTCCGCTCTATATCCATGCCATTGTGAGGACACAAATTACCCCATCATCCAGTCGGTGAAGAGTGAGATTTCTCTGGTGAGTCTAGACCCACTCTGTCCCATTCTCATGCCAGGAGGAGGAGGAGAGATGGTTGCTTTCTTCTTTGATCAGTAACTAATATGATGTCTGCAACTATTTGCCCAGTTGTACTGACAGTTCAAATATTGTCCCTTTGTCATACACAAAAGGCAATGGCATTTCCTATGTGTCCCTGCCACATTCCCTTTCTACTTCAAGACAGGAACCAAAGAGACTCAGAGTCAAGAGAGAGCACAGATAACTATGTTTCAGATATAAGAAATTTCTTTTTATTTCTCTATTTAGTTTAAAAATTAACATTAGCAGGCTACAGCATCTGGTTGGGAAATTAGGAAGTACAAGGTAGATAAATGGGGAAAAAAGTATAATCCCTTTCATGCCTATTGTTGTCAGGTGCCTTTGAGTTGGTTCTGACTCACAGCAACTCTATGTACAACAGAACAAAATGCTGCCTGGTCCCACCCCCCATCCTCACAATCCTTGCTATGTTTGAGCCCATTGTTGCAGCCACTGTGTCGATCCATCTTGTTGAGGGTCTTCCTCTTTTTCACTGACCCAATATTTACCAAGCATAATATCCTTCTCCAGAGACTACAGAAGACTTGATAACATATATGTGGTGGTTAAATTTGTGTGTCAACTTGACTGAGCCTGATTGAGTGGTTGGGCAGCTGAATGTAGTTATTCCCCATGGTGAGACTGGTAATGAACTCCATGGTAGAATCTATGGGAGCAGCTGAGTAGCTGCTTTGGGTATGTAGTCTGCTTCCTGTATATAAGAAACAGCTTTGGAAATGGTCTCTAGCTTATGGCACGCTTGAACCCCACATGTAGCTGTGTTGTTTTTCAGCAGCCTGCCATATTCTGCTGACCTTGGGACTTTCAATGGACTTGAATTAATGGCCTGCCGTGTGATTTGGTAACATCGGGACTGTGCCTTATTACTTGTCAACCTTGGGCTTGTCAGCCTCAGAAGCCAGCAGCTGAGTGAAGAAAAGCCTCTAGCTTCAGTGGGTCGGGAGCAGGAGGCAGAGCTGAAGCCCAAGTTTGAGGGGCTTTTACCCAACTCCTAGAGCCTGGCACTTTGAACTCGAACTTAAAGCCTCCAAAATTGTGAAAGAATAAACTCCTGTTTGTTAAAGCCATCTCATGTGTGGTATCTTCTGTTAGAGCAGCACTAGGCAACCAGAACAATATGCAAGTATCTTGCTATCCTCCCTTTTAAGGAGCATTCTGGCTATACTTCTTCCAAGACAGATCTGTTCATTAGTCTGGCAGTCAGTGGGGTATTCAACATTCTTCCCCAATGCTATTACTCAAACCCATCAAGTGTTCCTCCATCTTCCTTATTCATTATCCAGCTTTCACATGCATATGAGGCAACTGAAAATACCATGAGTCAGGAGCACCTTAGTCCTCAAAGTGATATCTTCACTAGTACATAAAAATGCACACTATTTGATGACTTCTGATAGGAAGAAAGATACATTGAGAGAAGAAATAGGGGTTAGGGCCTACTAAAAGAGGAGCAAGGCTAATGGGGGTCATATGTGTGTTTTAGCACAATGAAGAGCATACATTGATCCCAACATGCCCCCAACACTTCTACCTACCTACTATGCCCAGGTCTATGCATAGTCCTATAAGAGACACCTGAGAAAGGAAATTTGATGCCTAGGAGGCTTTCCTTATCTGAAATAAGTCAGGAAAAAATTCTGTATCAATTCCATCAAAAAGAACTTCAGAAGGGCTATAGAACGTATGAGAAAATACAGCTGATCTTCTGTAGACATTGATACGTTATTAATTTCAGGACTTTTCATCAGTTGTTTGCCTACTGCTTCCACATGCTCCCAAGCCTCATCTGTGCAGTTCTGGGTGACACTGATGGCAGAAGTCTTCAACTCTGTTGTCAGCTCAGTGGCAGGGAGTTTCTCAGCAAATTCAACCATTAGCGCTGCTATATCGTGGAGCAGCCTCCCACGTCCATGGGTACATGCCTCAGGAAGGTTAGCTGAGCGCCGGGGCCGCCCAAGCTCCCCTGGGGAACCCTCCAGATGTCTCAGAATGAGCTCAGCATGATCAATCCTTTCCTCCTCATTGAGCTTTTGAATCTCACGGATAAGGGTTTCAGTGATGTCCTTTCCTTCCATCCTAAATTGCTGATGCTGCAGAATGTAGGCCTCAGTTGGGCAACCAACCTCCTCCAGGGCCACCCTCAGAGCTAAGTTGGACAGGTACTCAGGCAGAGGGGCTAGAGATGGGGCTTCACGCAACAGATCCTGGCAGGATCTGGCATCTGGGAGAGGGACCTGGCTGGAGAGCATGTTTGGTGGAGGCCCAGGCTCTGGGAAAGATGGCTGGAAGGTCAGGGCTCTGTTGTGGGCACTTCTTGGAAAGGCAGCCACTGGCAATAGCAAGACACAGCAGAGCAGCACAGCTTGCATCATGGTGGGACAGTAGTGATAGTCTGCTAGAGAGAAGCAGTGCTCAGGTTAGGAAGTGGGGAATGGCTCAGGACAAAGAGACACCAAGATTGGTCACAGCAAGGAAGTGTCTTAGCCCTTGGAAACTTCAGTTGCCCTGGACATACCTTAACCTCCACCCCGAAGGGCTATGAAATATCCTTACCTGTTCAGGAAAGAAACAAGCAAAGCAATGAGGTGGTTCAAACACGTCCTTTGCCTGGATGCTTCCCTCGTCTGAATAGCTGGATCTCACCTTCTTTTTACCCCAACCAAAAAAAGTTGGTGCCTTCTGAGAACAGTGAAGGACATAGCATTCACAAATATTTATCTATCTCTTTCTGGCCCAGACTTTGTCCGTTTCACCTTTGCTCCGTGCTAACAAATAGGCTTTTACCTTTTCTGGCTCTTTTCCTGGCCCATAACCCTGCCACCCTAAGGATTTACCCCAGGCCTAAACTTAGATCAGGAAAGCTCCTCTGTATCTTCTGGGGAAGGGGTTTGTGGGAAGGCAGGAAAGCCAATGATTTTTCGTTCAAATAGAACAAAAACAAACCTGTGACCCCATGTGTTACAGAGTAGAACTGCTCCACAGGGTTTCTTTACCTGTTGTTTTTATGGAAGTAGATTGCCAGGCATTTTTTCTGTGTACCACTGGATAGGTTTGCATTGCTCACCTTAGGTTAGTAGTCACATACAAACTGCTTGCACCACCCAGGGACATCAATTTCTGGGTAGGAGACCCCAAAATAGTTCTTCAATGGACATTGCAGGTGGAGGACTGGGAGACTAGATCTTATTGGCAAGTCAGACCAAATCAGAGCAGATTTCTCATTGTTACCTTTGCAATTCTAATGTAAGACCTAATAAAAACACAGTCATTACTGTGATGGTACCTGTTTGTAAACCTACAGGAAGTTGGCTTCATTTTTCATCAAAGGGTAATTACAGTCTGGAAAAACAGGGAATGATAGCAACTGGTGCCTTCTAAAACTGGTACAGATGCTCACATAGCATTGTGTCATAAAGTTTCCTTTCTTAAGCTATGATCAAAGGGAACAGGTCAGTGGGTGAGGTCTTCTTCCTACATCACTTACTCCTCCCAGTTTCCAGCAGGTGCCCCTAAAAACCAAGAAGAAATAAAAAATATATAATTTCTGGAACAAGAGAAATATATCTTCAGGGAGGTACTGGACACACTCCTAAAACTGGGAGAGGAAAGAACTGGATATAGAGAGAGTCCAACATTGTTGTCTGAAATTCCTAGGCTCTGAGGAACTCAGAAAGGAGTTCTGGTTGCACAGTGCCTAAGGCATTTGACTGCTAACCACAAAGTTGGCAATTCAAACCCACTAGGCACTCTGTGGAAGGAAGATGGAGCAATCTACTTCCGTAAATATTTACTGCCTTAGAAACCAAATGGGGTCATTGTAAGTCAGAATCGACTCAATGGCAGTGAGTTTTGAAAGGAACTCAGAAGGAGCCCTGGTGGTGCGGTGAAAGACTTTACTGCTTCTGTACAGCTAAGGGGAATTTGTGGGGACCAGCTGTTTCATTTCTGACTTGGGTTCGCCATCTGTAACTGTGCCTATTTCCATCTCTGGGGTCTGGTTCTTTACTTAGTGTTACTGCCATCCTTAACATGGAGCTACCTTTTCTTTGAAATTCCTTGGGTTCTCAATTCTGATACTTTGGGAATGACAGGGGAGAGAAATTGAATGTGTAAACATAGTAGTGGGGAGAGAAAGTGGTGATAAGCTTGTCTCCAGGGCTGAGAAGAGAAATGAAGACATAGCAGTGCTCCATCCAGATTTCTCCTACCTTCATTTTCCTCCTATTTCTCAACAATAGCCGGCAGCTGTCACTTCTACAGGGTTGTTTTAAGCTGCTCTTCCCCATTGGCTTGATCTTCCAATGAAATAGAATGTGCCCAAAGGGCATGGGGGCAGCATAGTCTGACCTCCTGTAACTTCAGGAGAAGAGAGAATCAGCATTAGCATCAACAGCTCAAAGCTGATTCCTATGAAGCCGTCAGACATGCTGCCACCCTCCAACCCTTTTACCAGTTCTGGCCTCAACCATCCCACCCACAGCACTCCTTACTTCTCTGCTAGGTTCGATAATTCATTGCAATGGCTACACAGAACTCACACACAATACTCAAGATTGTGGAGTTTATTAGGGAAATAATAGGTTACAGTTCAGGTTCAGGAACACTCAGGATACACTGCTTTGATCAGGACAGCCTCCGCTCAGCCATGTTCATATGCACACTTCTCCTTGGCCCTCAGCCCCTCAGCATGGCCTCTGCTGCTCAAGCAAGTGTTACAAAGCTCTTTTAGCTCTGCAGATAGGTACCCAGAGAATCACCCCACTCTGCCAGAGAGCCTCCTGCCCGAAGGCACTCAGCTTTCTTGTTCCGTGGGCTGGGAAGCCCACTGCTTTATCTTGGGCCTGTCTCTGTTCTGCTGCCTCTGCTGCTGTGGTTTCTGTGGCACTGTATCTCACCGTCTTCACCACCTCAGTGAAGTGTTGAAGCTCTCTCTCTCCTGGGTCAAGGAAGTTCAGTGCAGGGATCTCAGGTCCAAAGGATGTGTTCCACGTCTGAGTCTTCTTTTTGATGGTAGTGAGATCTCCTTTCCACTGCTGAAATGGCCCATTTTAAGCCTAGTGGGATGGCAAAACTGACCAATCCTCATGTTAGGGTTCCATACACTTTATTTGCACAGTGTTACCCATACAAGGGTGCCATGTACCATATTTACATTATCACGCTGGTGGGGCAGAAGCACCTCACATGTGCATAGTCCTACCCAGTCATCTAGCGGGAATCACAAAGACCAGGCACAGGGGTGATATTAAGTAACCCACTGCAGAAGGCATCAAAGTAACTCCACTAGCCCTCTAGACCAACATGTCTGGCACTTAACAAATATTCAATGAACAGTTACTATTGCTACCCTCTAGGAATACCAGGCCTGTCCTCCTTTTGCGGGTTAATAGGAGAGCCTTCAGGAGCTCTGGTAGCACAGGGCCTAAGGCACTTGACTGCTAACCAGAAGGCTGGCAGTTCAAGCCCACCATCCACTCCTTGGAAGGAAGGTTGGGCAATCTACTTCTGTAGTGATACTGCCTCGGAAACCCAAGGAGGGGTCCCTATGAGTCAGGTCCGACTCGAGGCACATAACAACAACAACAACAGGAGAGCCTTCATGGCTTGTGCCTGTGCTCCTCATTGGGCCCTTGCTCTCGAGAGACTTCAGTTTCTACCTCTGGCTAGAGGTAGTTTTTCCTTCTCTGGGTGATTCAAAGAAGCATCCAATGTTCTCAGGGTTCGATTTGTCTAGACTATAGGAAATTTTTCTACAAGGGCAAAGAACTTAAAACTTGCAGCAAAAAGAAAGGAACGGCTCGTTAGATCACCAGCTTGTTAGCATTAACTCCTACTTTGTACTTATTCCTGCATTGGTGAAGATCTGTAAGGGCTGGGACCTTTTTTTTATTATTGCTCTATTCATCTATGCATACTTAGTATCTGGATAACCCCTCTCCCATTTATTCCAATGCCCAGCATGGTGACTAATACACAAGAGGCACTGGCTATATATACATACAGGTACTTTATACATCCACACACAAACACACACTGTATGGAGCCTTGGTGGCGTGCAGTGGTTAAACACACTCAGCTGCTAACCAAAAGTTCAGCAGTTCAAACCTACCAGCGGCTCTGTAGAAAAATGTGGCAGTCTGCTTCTGTAAAGATTACAGCCTTGGAAACCCTATGGGGCAGTTCTACTCTGTCCTATGGGGTTGTTATGAGTTGGAATAGACTCTACAGAAACAGGTTTGGTTTTGATATACTGTAATTGGATGTAATAATGAATGTATCCTTGGGATCTAAAGGTGACTAAGACATGATCCTTGTTTTCAAAGAGTTCATGGTCTAGTGAGAGAAAGAACAAATAAGATGTGTAACACTCTTAAGGTTTGTGTTATATGAGGGGAATGAACAAACCCCAGCTAGCAAAATGATCACTTGTGCTTTGGGGTTCAGAATGACAGGGACTGCTTCACAAAAATCACATTTGAGCTGATTCTTGAAGGATGGAGTGGGGGTTGGATGGAGCCTCCAGTAAAAAGACTGGCACAACCAACAGCCCATGAAATGGGTATGAAATGGCCTACTCTGTTTGAGTGATGCTAAATAATAACAACAAATAGTTCAGGGTGGCAGCAGTGTCAAAATCGGTCAAGTATGGTAGTGAGACTGAAAAATTGGTTAAGGTCATGTTACTCTCTGGCTCTGGATACTGTCCTGAAAGAAATGGGGAACCATTCTCTTGAGCAGGGTAGTGACATGATCAGAACTGTTTTAGAAAGAAATTCTGTAGGCAGCATGGAAACGGACAAAGGTAAAGAGGAGACTGGAGGAAGAACCCTAGAGGGTCAGCTGTTGCTGTGTCTAAGACAGAAATGAGGAGGGATGGATTTTTGGAGGTAGAACCAATGTTCTTCACTGTGTAGCTCATTCTCTTAAGCTACTTCAGCAGCAGCTGCAGCTAAAACAACTTTATTTGACCTATGAACCTGGGTGGTGGAATGCAAGGGAAAATCATTTGGTTTCCTGAAGCCCCAACCTTTGACTCCAAGAGCTCTCCCAAGGCCATCTGGTGAGCCAGTATTATTAGCTAGATAGTACAAAACATAGAATCCAGGAACATCATTCTAATCTAAGAAATAAATTCAAAGTCATTTTCATATATAAAATTCATAAAGATTAAAAATGGTTAGCCTTTATATAATACATAGAATGTGTCCAGTCTGTCCTAAGAACTATACATATAATAATTCATTTGATCTTCACAACCCCATGACTTAGGTACCATTATTAGTTAAAGTGGGCTTTAGAGTGAAACTTATACCTTTAAATGCTTTTATTGGAACAATTAAAATCAATCATCTAGGCCAAGTGTTGGTAAACT